ATCTAAAGTTGGCCCAAAATAAATGCGTTGGGTGCAATGTCCGGTAATGTCGTTAAACATTGTTCTTGATATGGCTGGTTTCCAGCATGAAATGGTATGTATCCACACCCTGTTTCAAACCCAGATTAGTACGCATTTGTAGGTTCAATAGACAAATGGGTTACCACTATATCAACACCGGCTGGGTGGCCTTGCCAAATCTAATTTCCATGACTGATAATGCCCTCATTGACCCGTACATAATAGAAACGATCTTATCGATAGCTCGTTACATATCTATCGACTATAGGTAAGTCTGTATATGTTTCGGTTGAAGTAATGCTTCTCAGTACTTACTCTTCTTTATCTAGGCTTCGGTAAAGTCAGAATAGTGACAACATTTCTAGTGGTTTATATGCATTAAGTTCTTATCAACTATCCTCGTTTTTGTAGAAGCATATTTTTCTTAATCTAATAATCTTTGGATGATAAAAAGCAGCCAAAGATATAATCCACTCATAATTTTATTATTATTTATATAAAAATCGATGATATTGTATGCAACAGACAACTGAAACGCTCTAGTTGCTATCTGTTTTCGACTTTATCATTTTCTAGATTGGTAAATTGCCGGTGGGAGCCGATCCCACAAAATCATTCAGAACAAATTCCGAAACGTGACTACACGTTATGCTCATTAATAGGAGTCCAGTGCATGTCATATCATATTATAAATCATAGTAATGTACTATATAAGTCGAAAAAGTAAGCTTCTGATTGAAAAAGACTATGGTTTGCTGCACTAACAGTACAAAGCAATACAGCCTGTGCAGTGAATAACTAAAACAATATACTACATGTATTAAAAATGTATGTCAATCAATAATTATTTTAGAGCGTTTCTATTTGCGTACAACGCAACTTTTACCCAAATGGGATGACCAGCAAAACGTTATTCCCTCTTGGATTTCGTGAATTCGCGCTGTTAGTGTTTTTCGGGACGAAGGTCAGACAGTGAAATCAATGGCGCACGTCCTACGATGCCAGAAAGTAGCGAGCGTCTAAAACACCGTACACCGTTGCACGACTGCTAGTAGCACTGATTACCAATAATAAAATTTAAAGCTAATCGTAAGTATTCTGTAACTTGAATTCCGAACTGAGAAATTCATCAGAGTACATCCAGCTCCCACAAAGCATATTCAAATAGTATGATTTCGTTAAAAGTTACGCAGGAGAAAGTTAGATACCGGTCTTAGCAGTTAGTAAACCAAAAGACCCTTTTGATAATGCTTTTACAAAATTTAAAGACACTAACTCGAACTTTAATGAACAAGCAAACTACAGTGTGTCTATTTTACGTACTAGTCCTACCTTCCCACCGAAGGATCTGCATTAATTTTAACTGCCTTAACTTGAATTAATAAGTTTAGAGCGGTTCAAAAGAACATCCGTTCCCCTCAAATACTGCAAATGCTAAATTTCAAAGACGCTTATCACTAGGCGCCTCCTTTTATTTATCATCTTTTTAATTATCAAAATCTCCTTTTTATTATCAAAACACCCCGTTGACCCGAAAACTGAACCCAGGACAGCCTTATCATTTTTTCCTAGATCGAATCGATGTCTTTGGTAAAACATCTTGAAATAACGATGTTTAGTGAGTCATTGTAACGTAAGGCCGGTCAATATGGTGTCAATCCAAGCCAGTGTCTAACTCAGTGGGTCTTTGATCATTTTCTAGGCGCATCGATTGAGATTGGCAGTACGAAAAATGGAGTAATGGGCTTGTTTACGGCGGACGAAACGCAGTGCTGCTGGATCAGGGTATAGACCTTGTTCGAAATATCAATCCAACATGCATTCAGACATGATATTGATGGATTCGAAGCGGATATATACCCCGATTATTGGAAGTATGTATAGTATTGGCGGCGATAGTGCTTACTAAATGATATTAGCTTAATAAATTATGTTCGGCTAACTCGAACGGAAAAACTTAGTTTTTTTTTTTTATTGTTTTTACCCTTGATCGAATAACTTCAACTAAAAGCACATGTCAACAAAAGCTATATTTATACGATTAGTAGATACGTTCAACAAAACGTAATTATATAATTTTATATGTGTAGTCGGAGAGGGGGCTGTTTTGTTTTTTACAAGAATATCGTCTCAGCGTGCTTTTCTATTGCCTAAAATATTTGTTTTTAGGACGAGTTACATCTTGTCGAATTTGCTATATGCCTTATCATTAATTGGTTTAGTAGGGCTTTGAGATTAACTTGGTAAACGTAGAGGTTCATACGCATAGTCTCATATATTTCGTGCATGTACAGGGCACACCCTTCACGACGAAATCGAAAACCAGTAAGTAATACGCCACCGGCTTCGGTGTCAATGGGAGCCCCTCCAATACATGTCCGTAAGTATCGCAGGAAAAAGTTTCACAGAGCTACATGAAGTTGAATGCACTGCGCACTAGAGGATACCGGCGCGGAATGAGCGCATTGAGCTGTTATGGATAAATAAATGAATAAACGAACGTCTACAGACATTGAAAAGATGAGTGGCTATGACACGCCATCCGTTTTTGCTGTCAACGACAAATTTAGAGCCAGGCTAAGTAAGCATATATATATATATATATATATAATAAGTAAATAAGACAGAACGAGAGACATTTTCGACGTTTAGTGGCTGGCAGGAACGAGTGGATGGAAATGTGAAAAAGGTACCGAAAAACGTTTAGATGGAACGCTTCAAACAAAAGGCAGTAAACACTTTGTATATCCATGCGTTCCTTCCTCTGGCAGTCAGTTATTAGCTATTATTTGACGCCATATTCGAAATGAGTGTGAGATTAACTTGCAATGGAATCTTTTTATACACGGCGTACCGCTCTATGTTACATTGCTTCATAATAAAGATGCTATACAATTTCCTAATCAACTCTGTAGTAGCGCACGTACTAAATAGCTAACTGTATCTATGTGGCTTATGGACACAAATAAATCATCAGCATACTGTCGTAATATACGATAGGGTAGCTGCGAATTAATATGGATTCTTAATATAGTACAAATTTTTAGTAAATCATCCGCTATATTTGCCATATAGGATTTAATTCAAGCTCGTGTATAGGTTACGCATCGATATGGTCGGACGCTATCCGATTATGAACTAGTAGTTCTCACAATCTTTACATTTTTCGGAAGCTAATTAATCCTTAAAGATGTTGGTATTCGTTTGAATTGAATTTCACAAATCATTTCTACTGATCCAGCTTCGATCCTCGTACCTGATAATTTCATATATCGTATGTGTGCAGCTTCATGAGACAGAATATTCCATGTTACGTAATTGGTAAAGTGTAACGCAATAATAATAGTTTTACCCTTTACTGCAGGCATTGCGACGAAGCGTTAGTTCTCTTGTCCGTGTTCCTTCTGTGTTACACTGTTTACGTGCCAGCTTACGATGTTCAAAATAATCCTACACGCATCGATCATCACAAACCTTTATGGTTTGCCAAATGAAAAAAGTTACTACAGAGAATGTCCATAACGTTTGTAAATATAGAACGGAACACCAGCTACATTGTGTATACTGTTTATTAAAAAGAAGATGTGAAGATAAAAAGCAGATTTAGGTTAGGAAACACGAAAGTCCTTTATGAATGAAGTGTTTTCACAGATGCTCTACCCATCCATCTATCGCATTTTGCCTAGAAAATACTTAATTAAGCCATCATTGTAAACGTTTCAAAAACAAGTTAAACAGCTCCAATACCTGAAAACCCGCTATGTGTAGAGAAAGAAGCTGTTCGTCTATTGGGTTCCTTAAGTGCCGGTTAAATATACTTGCATGATTGGCTGAACGTCATCGGTTATTATAAACTAGGAGTGATTAGATTTATAATTGATGCTTCTTTTTAAAAAGCGTTTGAATTAGTGGTAGAACACAACAGATTTCTTTTCGTGAAAAATAAGAAAAGCCGTTTTCAGAAGTAGCTTTTTAGGCCGTGTACGGCGATGGCTCTTAACCTCAAGTATATGCATTTCTACCAGCTTACCCCTCAATAACCCGCAAATCTTTTCAGGCTCATTACGGTGAAGTGGTTTTTGCTACGATTAGGACTAAATCAGCCTTCGCGAAGTGACTTTGGAGAGTTACGTTTACCGGTAAACACGGCATACGCTATGTTTTTCTAGAAACCTCTGATTATAGGATCCAATCTGAGAGCGGGGACCTCAAATTTCTACGTTCTAAGTTACGCTGAATTTGACCTTTTTCATTGTTCCGGCAGTTCTGCAACCTTTATTTAAACAACCAACAAATACTGTTACGAAATGAAGCATTTAGGTCCGGGCTAAAATAGATGCTATTAGGGAGAAAAAAAGGCAACACATTCATATTGCGTTCCGATTTTGATGTACGGTATAGCTGTTCAGCATTGCGTCATACGGCTGGCCGCTCACAGCTTGAAACGAAATGTGTCTAGTCCCGATTCTGAACTTAAGCTACCAGGTGTTCCTGAAATCTTATCATCTACCTGAGAGCTTATGTCAGTGTAACAAATGATTGTTCGATACGATATCGCGTAAGCTCTGGATCAACCGTAGCTTTGCCAGGTCTCGCTTCTGCACACTTGTAATCGATTTTTTCAATTTTACAAATATTACATATTTTGAAAACCTGCTTATATATAGGTTGAACGTTTCTGAAAGTAATATACCTAACTAGGAACGGTGTTTATACTTCTCAGGTTAGTCGGTTCTCAGGCAATAGTCAGATTAATCGTAGGAAGTTAGATGAGCTTCAAGCCCCGTCTGCTCAACAAAATGTTCGATGAGATTCATAATTGCTGCATTCAGCCGGTGGCAAAAACTACAGAATAGTCACAGGGGCGCCACTACTAAAGCGACGTCCAGATGCGGCCAAAACGTGTCCATTTTGGTGATACACTGAATCTGTAACGTATAACTACTGATCACATTTAATATGCAATGTAACTTTTTCAAATAGCTTCAAGCGAATAGCATTTTCTGAACAAAAAAGAAAACATTGATAAACATTCTTGATATCGATAGTGCTATATATTGTGAGGGAACAGTTTGAAGAATCAGGAAACGCCCCGTTTTCAATGGATCTACAACAGAGAACATTTGATCAGAGAAATGCCTGCTCTAAGTACCTAAGTAATCCTCGCGGCGTTTGTTATTGACAGTGAAATTGCGAAGTGACAGAAAAACATAAAGCCGTAACACTATCGTATTATGATACCAACCCAACGCAGTGGCTTGTACGACACACTACTGGTTGAAAAGGACCAAAAGTGCTGTACACTACGAAGCCTGTACGGGTAAAGGACGTTATTAACCACTATGCTGACATCTGTCGTGCAGCCGAGAGCTACAGTTTGGTATAAGTGGGATACTTGTATCAAAGGATTTCCTGTAAATTTGCTTATTCACATGAATGGTTTAAACGCTGAACTTCACCCAGCTATCCTTCGTCTGATTCTTCATCTGTCCGTCTACGTTTTCCTTCATGCGCCCCAGCCAAACATTCAGGTCCTTCTAGTGGTTTTTGTCGGAGAACAGGTCCGAACTGCGTCTGGGTAGACTGGTCGACCTTTAAAGGTGACTGAAGCGTTCGATCTACTTCGTCTGCCGCTCCGCTGAAATTAGGGGAAAGATTATTTAACATGACGCTTAACAAGGCAGTGTATGTGATTTACATGAAAGGAACATAATTATTTAAATCACTGATCTATTATACTGATTATGTTAAGTGAAAACCCAGGGGGTAACAGTTCGGTCGTGGCGTAACATAATACACTTCACATAGAATTAAGCAGAAATATATTTAGGTTCAAGTGGAATCTACTTGTAGCAGAGTTCCAAAAAGTCAATAGCAACGAAAAACACTTGTGTGAGCCTTCGTGCAGTGTTGAGTTAAAATGACTTTATTTATGAAATTGTGGTCTTTAGAGTCGTAACTAAAAGCTGAATTTAACTGACTAATTTATAACATTATTATTCATTCGTATATAGCAACTGGCCTGCCTGAGCGTGTCATTTCATTCCATCAGAAGTTCAAGTGGCGTATTCGACCAAAGGCGACGGAATGCTAGATTATCGACTGAGCGCACACATATATGTATGTATATATGTATTGTTATTATGAATCGGAATTTTCGGAACAAAAGCTCAACAATTAGAAATAATTGGACAGAGCTGAAAGTTAAATTGATCGATTTTTCATTGACATATGAAATTCCATGATGCTGGTATCCCACGGAAGCTCAATCTTCTAGAGGCGCAGACATAAGTTTTTCTTGTCTCAGGTCTCAGGCAGATACACCATATCTGTGTCCGAAAATCTTCTGCTCTTTTTCGCTAATACTCACACATTTTGTTTGAGCAGTTCGATAGTGGCTAGTGCTTCGCGGCAGTTTTTCTTGTTAATTTGCATCTGATCACACACCTCGACTAAACGTCTCGCGAGGGGCACCGGGAGGTCAGGCGGAATCTCTTGCATACTGCCTATTGCCTGTATTAAAATATAGCAATACATCTTAATTTACTACAGATTACTCAGATATGCAACAATGAAAGTAGGCAAAAAGTATCGTTTTAATACATCATTGAAACTGTATCATCTTTTTTCAGCTTTTTTTTATCAAAAATATTATACTAGCACGTGATAATCGACAGTAAATCTCCATTATTTTAAATAATAAATGCTGCTCATTTTGCATTGAAGGCGCTTGTTCAGAACGTAATGGTTTCTCCTCATGATAATCGCGGTAATCATATGCATCAAGTCAGTTATTCAGCTACAAGGCAGAACTTATATAATTGGTAATTTTACTTTAACATA